TCCAGTTTACGAAAGACGGGATAGGCCACCGCGTGTTTCTGGTTTTGATATTAAACCACCGGTTGAGTCTGTAGTGAACCTGGACATGGATGCAGCGGCAGCTAGTGGAACCGAGGTCCCAATGCCATCTTCCGAGAGACGAGGAAATGGGGTTGTCGAAACAGAGGTAGAACCGGCTTTAGCACGACCAGTGGTTGATGAACCCTAAATGTCAAGACTCGAAACAGAGAAATGATACAAAAACCTCATTACGCAGAAATCACAAGTCATCCCAAAATTTTTGGTTATTGAATGGATCCACCAAATCAGACAGCTGATGCGTCTTCCGAGATTTATTGGCTGGCTTTTCTTTATTTTTGTTAATCCCCATTTTCTTATTGTATAATGGAGAGTTAGTTTGTAATGTATTGAGAATTCTTATCGTTACATGTAACACCTTCTACTGGTGGCTTCAAGAAAAAAAAAATGGACTAGAAAACAGAAATGGAGAATGTTAAGACAAACTTTGATTGTAGATAGACAAATACACATTTAGAGAGATTGAATTCATAATCTGTTATATAACGAGAGAGCTCTCTCTCTATTTAAAGTATCTACATAGGCAAAAAAAAAAATTAATTCATGTTTAAGTATATTTATTGTTACTTATAACTAATAAAGTGGAATTAAATAATAAAACGAAACTATATAAACAAATGTTCAAAAGTATTAAATACAAGAATCTTTGAGTATTTTATTATTGTAAATAAAAAATTATATCAAGAAATATATTTCATTTGAGAGTAACAAAATCATTATGAGTTTATGATAAGATAAATGTTTATATGTTTTATTTTCAAAAGATTGGAAATATGTAAAATGAATATAAATATAAGAGAATGAATAACATATAAACGACATAAGAGAATAATAATAAAAAAACTAATTATTGAAACATCGTAATTGAGTATCAAATGATTGTTAGGAGGCTGCAAGTCTAAAGAGAAATAAGCTATCTTATTTTACCATAAAAATTCTGAACAATCTCACTAAAGAAGATAAAATAAGGTGAAAACTTGGAATATATGATTTATTCAAAATATTATATTTGAGTTATAGAAGTATAAAAGAAAATTCTAATTAATAAAGTGGTGAGTGAT